CGGCGACGAGGAACGCCGTGGTGGTGCTTCAAGCTCGGCTGTTTTCTCGCGAGGATATGGTGTAGTGTCGGCAGCGCTCGGGCCGTTGCATTTTTTTTTTTGGAAAATTGAGTCAGGAGGAGGAGAAAGTGAGGGACAGATCTGATGGTCTAATCGCTGCATCGGGCGGCCAGGGTTGGACCGGCCCAACTGTTGGGCCGGTGCGCCGGCGCCTAGCGTCGCCCATTGAACAATATCCAGGTCCCTTCGTATCTCCACTCAATCTGACCGGCTTTCTATTTTCTACCTTTTGTTATTTTTCACTGTATTTTCATAATCACAGATATTAAATCTACTAGGTCATAACAGGTCGCTCGCAGGCAAGCCATGCGGATCAAAGTGAAAATTAGGACAATGGAAATTGCAAGCATGCCCTACACGAATAAATCAAGGAGAGCGGTCGGGCCACCGACTAATGACCCTCTAATATTTTTATTTCCAAAGCCTTTGTTCTCTTTGAGATGAAATAAACAGTTTTAACTTTTAAAACACAGTTTATAGTTGGTATAGGGTGGATGCCTGAATGTAGTCTGCTTATCGTTAGTTTCATTATTTATATCTAGGCGAGAATAACAGTTATAACCAGCAGGATGCTCTACGATTAATAGACTCTTCGTTGAAAACTCTCTTAACAGGATGTGAGGTAGATCCTAACAGAAACAGCATAGATGTCGGCCCCATGGCATGGTCTTACATATGGACTATTCTCACGATATCAATACGACACATGGAGTCATGCATGGTGAACAAAATAAGAAGATGCAGCGATATATGGATCTTATCCTCCTGGACATTGGAAGAATAAGTTGGCTAATATGGTAGACTTGAACATTATTGGCACACCACCAGCCCTGACGATGTCTAGCCGCTAGCATGCAACTGAGAGAAAAGGCAAGGTTGTCGTCACAGAGTAGTCCTGTTGCCGGACTTGCCCATGAAGAAAATCAGACTTTGACAAGATTTCAGTTGAATTCAAAGCAGTGATTCCATATTTCAATTTTAAGTACGTAAATAAGGATGCATGCAAGAAGGAGAGGAGTAGCCCATGTTTAATTATGTTGTCATGTTTGATCGCAGGCAGCAAGGAAGGTAGATATGGTCTGCAAGCAGGAGCAGGAAGTTTATTTCTCAATTAGTGATGATGATAAAACAGAGGGTTTCTTCCAATTTGTAGTGCTTGCTATTCATCTTGATAATGTACTCAGGCCAAGTTTTAATTTTACTTAATGTTAATACAAACGATGCAAAATTACATATCTCGACAATTACGGCAGGATTCGAACAGAGTTGATGTTTCGAGTATTGCATTACTTAGTTTTGTACTAACCTACTGTTAACAGCATAGATCTGATCTGCCATGTCAAGTTACGATCTATAATTTAATAATTGAAAGTACTATGAAATTATATTATATTTACTACATATATGATTAATTTGTTGCGTCGTGTTCGAGTAAACATTGAATGATACGTATAGAAAGTCTATTTCCATCTCTAATATTCTTTAAAAAAACATTTGTTTTATTTGTTTCCATGTTGCTTGCAGAGGCAATCAGAACCGCTCTCATTTTTGGTAATCACTAATCACGAGGTAAATAACATTCGGAGAGAGCACATGAAGATATCGATGTAACATAGTTGCTCCATTTTCATCTGCTAGCATTTATATGGATGCTCAAAATACAAATTTATCTCTACTAATTATAAATCACAATTAGTTGCGTGAGATAACAATTTTAAGTGGGCTCGATTAGTTTATGCTTTTTCTGGATAACTTATTTCTATTTCACATGATATCTCGACCCCTTATTCACAGCAGTAGCATTTATCGATCTTGAAATAGGGGTAACTATATCAAAATCTCAGGTTTGTAAAATGTCAATTCATAATTAATTAGGTGATTTAGACATCTCCATCAAAACTACTTATTAAAGAAAATGAGGATATATCCATGTAAAGTGTGAGCAATATGAATTGGAGGTGAAGTCTTCAACATGTACTGAAATAAATTAGGACCATAACGTAAACCAAAAATGGTTCTCGCTGAGATTTTTTATTGAGATTACTGTTGACTAAAATGCTAATGCATATATCTATATATGTTTGGCTTTTAATAGTTATGCTTTAGTGGTATTGAACGTATACGTATGGTTTACTAAAACATTACTCTGAATATATACGTACCTCTATGAATGAAGTAAAATATTTATTTTCCATCTTTAGTAGTAAATATGATATACACTCATATTATAAACATAAAATAGTCAATTTGTACAGCTAACCAAATGTTGTATATAGACAAATTTGCACATATAATTTTAACAATATGGCATCTCACCTTTTACATGTGTACTTGCAAAATTCTTAAACGAAAATATGAAATAGCACCATGTATACTGTAAATAAACTTTTGGATTCAAACAAGAAAATAAAAAATACACGCTAGCCCGTGCGGATGCACGGGTTGACGACTAGTAGTTATAATTTCTGAATTGTTTTCAAACTAGTGATTTTTCTGAGCTGAATTTTTTTAATTCAAAAGAAACATAAATTCATGGATATTTTTTGAAATTGAACAACTTTTGAAATTCGTGAATATAGTTTTCATTTATGAACATTTACAAAATTTACGTGAATTTTTCTACTTTCTGAAGAGTTTTCTAATTATGCACTGTTTTTAAACTGATGAACTTTACTCTGAACTCATGAAATTTCTAAGAATTGGTGAACATTTTTTGAATTACTGAACATTTTCTGTATTCACAAAATTTTCAAAAGTCATGATTTCTTTTTTTGCTTTCGTGAACTTTTTTTGATTTTACGAAATTTTCCAAAAAGCGCAGGTATAGTTAAGATGGTCGATGCCCGGGTACCCAGTTTACTGTGCCCCTAAGCAATGACTATTTTCTGTCGATTAACAGATATAGTGCTTCCAAAAAAGGACAATTATTTCCAGGCCTGCACCGCCCGTGTGAGTATGGTCATACTATGATACAGTAGTCGTACTCTCCATCATGTATGCTAGCTGCATCTAATTGCCAGCTCCCCCTCTCCGGCTCCTATGTACTCCCTTCGTTCCGAATTACTTGTCTTAGATTTGTCTAGATACAGAGGTATCTAGCACTAAAATGAGTCTAGATACATCCGTATCTAGACAAATCCAAGACAAGTAATTCGGAACGGAGGGAGTACATCACTCTACACTAGCTAAGTTTAATTTCATCAAATTTTGGGGTACTTCCTCCATTTTTATATACACAGCCACAAACTTAAATTATAGGTACCAAGGTTAATTTAATACATGTTTTACGATCCAAATATTTTTTTCGTTGACCGGGATCATTAATACACCGCATGTATGCAAGAAAACTGAATGGAGAAAGTAGCTGAGTGTCATTATGACTGCATGCATGCAAGTATTAAACAACTTGATAGCACGAGAAAACATCATTAATTTTTTCCTCAATTACTATTAATGGCCTTGTCTAGATGCAAAACGTATACTCCATAGTGACCTTGTATAAGTAAGAGCAAGTACAATAGCAGGCTTATAGCCCGCTTACATGGCAATTTTGCCTATGTGGAGAGAGAGACATGAAAAACTAAGAGGAGTGGACTCTTATGCAAGAGTCTAGCTATATGTGGATTTATAGACCAATACAATAAATATGAAGAGAGATAGAGAGAAGATGAGAAAAAGTAGTACCCTTATAGCTAACCTTATTGTATGAGTGGTATAAGCGAGGGCTATATATCACATGGCAACATCATATAAACAGCAGTTGGCTCTACCATTAACTATTCTCTAAATGGAGGGAGTAGCTTTTGCACTAATAGTGCTGCTGAAAATATCTTGAAGATTAATAATAAGGGGGCGGCTAGCCGTCGGTCATTTGAAAACGTTTTGGTGTCAAGTAAAATTTTCATGTTCTATCTGAAATGTTGGATAAAGATCCAACGGATCCCGCATCGTCTTCCAACTTGAACGGGTACGCCCACTGTTGTGTTCTTCATCTTCATCTTCTTCAACTTGAACGGGTACGCCACTGCCCTAACCGCCTGCCATCACCACTCCCTGGCTGAGGCCTTGCCGCGGTCGGCGGCCTCGATGCTCCGCCGTGCCTCCTTTTCCAAACAGAACCAACCAACCCAAATTCAAAATCATGCAAATTACATCCAGCTAAACTGCAATAATAATTCAACATTATTTTTTTTCACAACCTACGTACATAGGTGTGCGTGCACAACACAAACACAATAAATTTGAAATGTCAATCACAAACAGTACGTGCAAGGTAGCTAGGGCATCAAAGCTCTCTGGTCAGTCGATGAGCTCCTTGAGGTAGTTGTCATAGACGAAGTCGACGAGGATACGATACGCCTTCTCCGTGGGGTGGTAGCTGTCCCAGAACAAATAGTCGGTGACGTCGCCGCACACCGCCGACGTGACGCCGTTGCACAGCACGGAGACCTCCATCATCCCCGTGCCGCAGCAGCCCAGCGTGGACTCCTTGAACCCGTACCCCTCCGGGCGCATCATCATGTCCAACAAGTACCCGTAGATGTCCATGAGCACCACCCTCGCCCCCGGGTGCTTGGCCTTGAGCGACTCCACGGTGGTGCCCATGCCGGCGTTGATCATCTCGGCGATCTCGTTGTGGCCCGACGAGCAGTCCCGAGCCATGCCGCCCGAGAGCGTGCGCTGGGACGGCACGCACCCGATGGGCGGCATGGAGATGATGGCCACTCGCTTGGCCCCTGCGGAGAGCAGGCCGTCGAGGAAGGCGCCGGCGTGGGACACGATGAGGGACGCGTAGTCCGCGTGCGAGTAGGAGCTGCGCGCCCGCATGGTGAAGTAGGTGTTGGCCACGTCGTCGCTGCCGGCGCACACCGCGAAGACTCCCTTGGAGAGGATCTCCGAGAGAGCGGCGTTGCCGGCGAGGGCCTGGACCTTGGCCTTGTACTCGTCGAACATGCGGAGCTGGTCCGTCATGGAGATGACGGAGGCGAGCTGCGCTGTGAGCGGGTCGTAGCCGGTCCCGCCCGACGCGAAGCTGACGCCGGTGAGCAGGTCGTGGGCGGTGAGGTTCGGGGACTGCTGCAGGTATGCCGGCAGCAGCTGCTTGAGCCCCAGCTTGGAGGCGATGAAGTCGGTGGGGATCCTGCCGTTGCAGAAGCGGCCGGTGGGGCGGTGGTCGGCGCCGAAGTCGTGGCCGTAGGGCGGGAAGTTGGCCTTGATGATGGTGTGGATGGCGTTGTTGTTCCCCGGGTCCACGATGGAGTCGCCGAACACCACCAGCGCAGGCACCTGCTTGGTGTTCGGCTTCGTCTGTGGCGCCGGCTTCACCCCATGGCCATGGCCTTGCTTCTTCCCCGTCACCGGCGGCGTCGTCACTCGTGCACCACTAGCACTTGCAGTGTTGCTGCTGCCCGTGTACGTGGTTCGGCCGGAAACGCCGGTCGCCACGGCCAACAGCACAACAAGGAGGAAGATGAAGCTCCTGCCCTGCATCGTTGTAGTTCCACGCCACACGCCCATTGCCATCGGTAGATAGACAGAATGCAGTGCAGCTAGCTCGCTCTAGCTGAGTGGAGTGGAGTGGAGTGGAGTGTGATATCGTGGAGTGTTGGAGGTGGTAGGATTTATGCATGGCTTTCGGCGCATGCAATGAAGGCTGGCCGGCAAAGACTCACATGCCGAGTAAATGCCGCCTGCGCCACTAGTAGTAGTAGTCCATCCATCGATCTATGGGTGCGGTGGTGCAGCGGTGATACGAGTACTACTCCCTCTGTTCTTAAATATTTGTTTTTTAGGGATTTTAAATGGATTATCACATATAGATGTATATAAACATATTTTAAAGTATAGATTCACTCGTTTTGCTCCATATGTAGTCATTTATTGAAATCTCTACAAATATTTAGGAACGGAAGAAGTACCTCCGCTCAGGTTTCTTTGGCTCCTCCCATTTTAGGTTAAAGTTTGATCAATAAATTTAACTAATAAAATTTGAACTATATGTCACAAAAATTATGTGTTTGAAAAGCCCTTTCAAATACAAATTCCATAGCGTACTTTTTATAGCATTTATTCTATATTTTATTAGTCATATGAATAATCAAAGTTTGGCTCAAAATATTAAGGGCCTAATAAAGCTAGACGGAAGTACTCCCTCTCTCCCAGTTTACGGGACGTGCACGTGCCCATAAGTCGTCAACTTGACCAATCTAATACAAATCATATATTACAAAAAATTATACCAATATAAACTTCAGATGTTCTATTTTCAAACGTATAATTTTTGTGTTATATAGTTTATATTAAAGTGATAAAATTAACAACCTAGCTATACGCACAGGACTTGTAAACTCTCCGTCCGTCCGCGCGTGCTTTGATTGCGTGTGCAGTAGATGTCGGCTAGCTTAAATATGACCTGCATGCCTGCGTGCCCACAATGTTGTCATCTCTTTCTGGATCTGGCCAATCAATGGGTTACACCAAAGCAAACCAGGCCAAATGGCCAATGCCGGTACGTGAGAATGCTGTGCTCCAGTCAAGGAAGGGCACTGGAGCTAGATATGGCTCACTCGTGTATGCGCGTATGTATGCTGTGTTCATGTTGGCCACTGTTTTGGTAATAGCATGCAGCGGACGTACTGCCACTACTGCAGATAGCTGGTTGTAAGAGCCTGAAACGAGCCTGCAGTCGCGACCACTGTTTTGTTGTAGTACATGCAGATGTAGACCTTTCCGAAGTGTACAGGTAATTTGTTAAAATATGGGGTAATCTTTAGGCCCATCCTGTAATTTCAGAAAAATCTTTAAGGGTCCACGTGGGTTATATGACACTAGGTGTAGTGAGAAGTTTACTCTCATCCTGCTAGCGGAGAAGGAGTTGGACCTGTTTATAAGAGATTCTCTTCCACTTGCTATTGGAGCTTGAGAATAGAAAAGGCCCTCGCGCACTCCTCCTCCGCTGCCCGCGTCGCCACGACGCTCTGCAGGTTGCGGAAATGAGCCGAGCCAAGCTCACACCTATGCGCTTATTTTTTTGCGGTCAGTAACGGAGAGTTTCCTAATCCTAGCCGTCATCCACACCCACTGTCGTTCCTTTGCTGCTGCTGCCGCCGGTGACTCGGTCCCGTTGACCGCGTACACGGTTGAAGGGAGAGCAGGTCTCCGAAACCCCGCCTCTCCGGATCCTGTATGGGAGAGGGGCGATTAGGTTTTTGGGAAGCGACTACGCGACTGCTCGCCTTTGTTAGTCTGCTTCCTCCACGTCCGCGCCGCCTTCATCATCATCATGTCTCAGTCCGACGCGACCGTCTCGTCGCCGAGAAGCTCGAGGCCGACAAGAAGGCCGCTGAGGATGCCGCTGCGGCTTCTGCCTGGCCTGCGACTAGGCAGCGAGTCCTATCATATTCATACTCCCTCCGGTCCTTTTAGTGCAAACCTCGCAAACGTTGACCAAGTTTATAGATGCGTCATGACTTTAGTTTTCATATTGTGCAAATTTAGCATGGTAGACGTTTATATATTTTTATATAAATATGATCAAATTTTACGAAGTTTGACTTTAGATAAATATTATATGCAGAGTAAAAAGATCGAAAGGAGACGGTTGAATGAATCCATTTGATTCGATTTGCCAGGATATACACCAACACCGCAGACTGGCCAACTGGCTCCACAATGCTACCAACTACTAGACCAGGGTGTGGTCAGCTGAGTGTAGTGTGGAGTACTCCATGCGTTGCTAAATATAAGTTTTTGGAGTGAAATCTCTACAAAGACTTATATTTAGTAATCGGAGGGAGTAGGATTTATGCATGCTTTCGGCGCATGCAATGAAGGCCGGCAGGATGACATGCCAAGTAAATGCCGCCTGCGGCACAAGTCCATCCATCGATCTATCGGTGTGGTGGTGCAGGGAGCTGCTTCGTCCGCGCGTGCTTCCCCTTGATTGCGTGTGCAGTGGATGTTGGTCAGCTTAAATATTACCTGCATCTCTGCATGCCCACAACGCTGCCATATTTTTCTGGATCTCGCCAATCAATGGGCGACACCTAAGCAAACCCAACAATCAATGGGCTGCCATATACGTGCGATTGCTCTGCTGCAGTCAAAGGAATGTATGCGCGTAGAGCCAATATACGACTCATGTATGCGCGTATGTGATGTGTTCATGTTGGCCACTGTTTTGTTTTGGTCGAGGCAGCGGACGTGCGTACGTACGTCCAGTACTGCAGCTAGCGAGCTGACTACACGACTTATTCTACGACAGCAAATGCATGGCCAGCTCGGCTGCTTGTATGTTATGTTAGAGCATCCCATCCTCTAGTTTCCACTCCCTAGCCATTGCCGTCCTCCACCTTTGCTCCCCAATCCGTGCTGCCACCCCCACCCGCCGCCCTAAATGTCGTTGCCAGGTACCCCCATCCCCTCTAGCGCGATGGATGTTGCCTCGGCGTCGTCCATGGAGCTCCTGTTCGTGGAGACGAGCTGCAAGCCAAAGAACTTGGCCCGGAGGGAGCGGCGAAGGAAGCAACACGAGAGGGAAGCGGCGGCCCAAGGAGTTCCAGCCAAGGATGTTGTGGATATTGAGTAGGATGTGTCACCTTCGCTGGACCCGGTCGCCCCACGCTCATCCATCCTGCCGCCGACAATGATGTTGTTGTCCGCTCCACCCGCAATTAACATCGATCGGACAACCGATTGGGTGATTACAGAAGATTTTACAAAAAACACAATGGCAGGACGACAAGGTGTGGGACACGCCGCAACTCAAATTGGTGCGGATAAGCATGGGCAGCCGACATCCGGTCTGGCCAGCTCATGTTCGACAGAATGTCCTAGCAGGAGATGGTATAAATTTTGCTCCATTTTGTATCACTTTGTTTCTATATATTCACTATGTCATTTGATCAGTTAGTTGCATAATCCATTGAATGTATTAGTTGCATATTCCATTAGTTTACTGGGAATCATGATCATTTTAGGAGAATTACATGGCCGAGAGGATAAACTAGGGTCAAGAGCCTACTGATGGTATGGAATATGAGTAGTGGGGGTCCAAATTGTCCTACGTTTAATGTCGGGGGAAAATACTTACTAGGACGAAAAAACGGCAAAAGGTACCTGAGGCAAGAGGTCCGACATTCACAATATTTCAGGATGTTTTGTTGGTCAAAACTTAGTTGGCCACAAGCATGGACCCTATATGTGGCATGGAACAAAATGGCAACAAGTATTGGGAGAAGATCCAGAGGCACTATGATGAACACAAGGAATATGTCGAGGCACATCCTATCATTATGACCCACAATGTGGCCTCTCTGCAACATAGGTGGTCCACCATCCAAGAATATGTGAACAAGTTTGTCGGCCTCTATTCTTCCGTGCTTGGTCATAATCAAAGTAGGATTGGAGTCACAGAAGTTGAATTGCAAAGTTTGTCGTAATTTGCATTGCTAGTTTTTAATGTCGGATTCTCATGATTACTTCATTGTTGATAGATGGTGTTGGCCGCCGCTTTGTTTCAATTAGTCAAGAAGAAGCCATTTGGTTTTAGCCATTGTTGGATGAAATTGAATGGTCAAGCAAAGCGGATTCAACTTGTGGAAGAACTCAAGAAAGGCACCAAGACGTTGAAGATAAATGATGGCTCAAGATCCCGCCAATACATTGGAGTGGATGACGAAGAGGAAGAACTTGTAGAGGGGGGGGGGTGTGAATGAAAGAGCCACCATTCCAAAGAATAACCGACAAGTGATACAAGTGGGAGAACGGCAAGGCCGCCCGTGACACTGTAGCGACAAAAAATATTCACTACATGGACATGTATTTTTTCCCCAAGGGATGGAAACCAAGTGGGAGAAGGGCAGGGCCGCCCATGACAGAACAAGAAAGAGCAGGTTCAAGATCATGTTGGATGCGCAAAAAGAAAGGATGTATTGGGACTGGGAGAGGTTGAACCACAAGTTGTAAATATGACAAGTCCCCCATGGATTCGATAATAAGGAAATGAAGAACGGGAACGAAACGAAATAAAGCATATTTCTAGCGGATGAGCTTCTCTCCATTTTGTCTGGTAATAGAATAGGGCGGCTTGCTTTGACCAACACTCCACTTTTTGCTCTGTCCATGGAGCGTATGAAACTGAGAGCAACAGGTTGCAAATTGAGAGAGATGATCGAGTTGTAGAAGAGGGAGACGTGTCTCAAATGGGGAGCTCGAGAAGGCCCGGCCTTTCACATGAAAAGAATGTGACAAGGAGAGGTTGCAACTTGCTCGAGACACCTAGGATTCGAGTATTATGTTGATGGGTGCAAGTCTTTTGGCCGAGCAAGAAACGGCTTGAGGTTAAGAAGAAGGATATCAACCAACGTAGGGAGTATGAGGTTGCAAGAGCGGTGATGGCAGCAGCGGACAAGGAACCGATGGCTGCCGTGGCAGAGCACGAGCCACGGATGGTGGCCATGGTAGAGCAAGCAGCACGGATGGCGTCCAATGAGTGATCCATCAAAATCCAGCTGTAGATGATG